CGTCATTGATAGCGCGCGCAAAGCGCGACGCTCGTGCTCATCGAGCCTAGGATGTACAACCCCCAGTGCTGCGGACGCACTGTCCGACATCGCACCGCGTGCGGGAGACGAAATTGGGCTCTGCCCGTGTTCGCTCTTAGTACCAGCGAGACTTGGTAACTTCTGTGTCGTGGACACAAAGCTCATTGAGCAAGGAAGTCGTTTTATTCATACAAACTAGGTTGCAGTGTCTAGCGGACCCGCGAGCCTCGTTCAGGCAATAATTGATTGGAACTGTAAATGTTCTCAATATTAATGAGGGAGGGTGTAACGTGGTTACACGTACCCTGGTAACAGGGATGTGTGTCACACGAGGTGTGCATGGTGTGATGCACCCAAACAAGAATACGGTATGTGGCTAGGAAGCCAGTAGTTATGCATACATTTAGATTTTACTATATATATTTAGTAAAATCTATACATTTCAAAGTAGGCGGTTTAGCCGCAGATAAAAATAAATAAGAATCAGTTTTGTATTTAAACCGAAGAGTTTATCAGCCTTGGATAAGATAGTAGCTACTTTTGGAGTTAGCAGATTGCGATCCGTTACACTCGTATTGGTTCTTGTAAGGAGCGAAAGGTCGGTGACCTAAATTACGCTTCCTCAAGCGCTAAGCTACGGCAGCCCCGCCACAGTCTCGCCGAAGTGGCACTTTAACCTCGGGTACCCCCGCCACTTCACAAGATACTTGATTTGACCTTTGTGACGACGTCGACCCACAAGACCTTTCACGTGATAGTGGACACCACCATTCCTGTCGAGAAGAATCGGCGGCGGACGATGACGACTGGGTCGATTGCTGCCCGGTCACTCACGTTACTCTTTGAGCTCTTGAGGACGAGATCCGTCGCTATCAGGACTCCGCTGAGCGTCATGCTAGGATCGAATATCGCTTCGCGGAAGACCGAGAGAGCTTGGAGCACGCTGTACACCGGCTGACACTATCGTGCTCTGTCGAAGCGGCTCCTAGCCGTTGAGCAGCCGAATCTTGTTGCCGTTGGAGATGGGGATCGTCGCACTCCGTACTCAAATCCAGTTGCTGGACCAGCTTCTAGGTGTCGAACACCAGTAGATGCCGCTCTGCTGCCAACGCTTCCGCGTTCATTTGCACCGGATCCCGGTACGGCTTAAGTAAGCCCACATATAACTCTGCGTGGGTGCGCATCTCTTTTGGAAGTTTTAGAGTATAGACAAGGCCCCGCTTGGCCACAATATTTAAAGTTCCGATAAATCGTGGACGGAGCTTCTTCTTAAAGACAGCTGAAAATTGCATGGGTAGGCAGGGTTTTTGGATTTTATTTAAAACTAGGTCTCCGACCTTAAAAGTTCTAACCTTACCTCTACCTCTCCCGTCTTCATGTTCCTTCTGCAGGGTTTGGCTTCCTGCCATCGCAACGCAAACTCGTTGTAAGGCACTCAGTCTGGTGGACAGAAGTTCATCGACTTCTTTACGAACAGTGAGAGGGCTGATATGAGCTAGTCGCTCGTCTTTTCCTCCCTCTAAGGCGGCGTCGGCGGGACGCGAGCATGAACGAGCCCGTTCACGTAGAACGTCGACCAATAATTCCCAGTGAAGCGTGGGTCACTTTCAGAGACAATTAACCCTGGGAGTCCATGTTGTCAAAAGACACTATTCACAAACAGCGTTACTGTACCGACACTGTCGGTGGTGTCCGACACCGCCGCAAGATGACGGTCGATTAAGACCATGACACCCGTGCTGCCCGCCGAGTCCTTCGGCAGGCCAAAGACAAAGTTCAAATTTATGGACTGCCAACACCGGAGGGTACCGGCACACTGTCCAGCGGCGCCGCCGTTTCGGAGAAGGTTTTGCACTTTGACACATCTTAAACGTGCTCACATAGGCACTCGTCCATTTGTACGGCTTTCGTCACCGGTAGTGGCAACCCACATAGCTATAGGTCTTCTCACGACCGAGAATCGGCTCGTTTACCTGGGACCCTTTGGCGTCTCAGCTCCTTCATGAGAATATTAAGCGCGACGGAATCGCGTCTATCTAGTTCAAGTGTTCGAGCCCACGTACATTGGACGGCGTGAAGGACGACAAGCGTGGAAGGAAACTGATTTTCATCATTTTGGAGAGTATTCGCACTGGAACGCAATGTTTTTTATCAAGCGAATGCAGAGCGACAGATCAGCAGCACGCTAATATCGCTTAAAGTACAGCAACTGTAGCATTTTCTCTATTTGTGGTACTGCGGGCACCACCTAGACTATCTAGTTGGAATCCAAATGGATGAACTTTGATGCAATAAAACTTTCTTATGCATTTATTTATCCCTTAAGCAAGTACAATCTCTCTGTGTACAAATGTTATTGCTGTAACGTATTTCAATTCCATCAGGAAACGGTATCTAAATACAATTCATATTGTTTCAAGCATATGACCTCGGAAGCATTGAAACCTTGGGTACGACATTTGAATATATTAAATTGATTGCAATTAGAGTTGTCATTTTACTGATGCAGTAAAATGTTTTTTGTATCGAGTGGTGGGTGGAATATCACAAGTACGCGTGGAGTCTAAAAAATATACGTAAGCTACCTGATTAGTGAGTGACAGCCAGCGTAGTGTTTCCCTAATTTTCATGTGAAACTTCATTAGGGGCTGAGTGATACAACCTTCACCACTGCTAGTCGAGTATTGTGAGGGCGTCAAGCGGGTCGAAGTTAGACTTCAAGGATAATTGTCTCGACGCAGTTTGGCTTTCTCTACGCGCCATAGATCATCTAAGTTTATGGCAGCGAGTACCGGCACTATTCGTATCCATTAGACGCGCAAATTGTTTATCTAAAAAGAAATTCGGAGCTCATTCTCATTATATGGGATGGGAAAAATTGATGGCTTGGCAAGTTTCACAAGGCAATGGGTCGGTCCCCCTGCCAGAAATCGGGCTAATCATAGCTGTTGAAATCGTTAAAGGACTTAGTACTAGAAAATCGATAAGAAATTGCTTGTAGGATCAATAACTTGACTCAATTTGTACGAACGCAAGGCTCCCATCGTGTGTTCGGCGTCTAGATTTTCTACGCGCGAATCAGACGCGCTAAAAAAACACCATTGAGACTAGCGACGGAGACTTATTAACATTTTACAGTGCTTCAGATTCAGTACAATAAAAATGCACACGATCAACTAGACAGGACAAGCTGGACAGAGAGTAAGATAAAAAGGTCGAAACATTGAATGGGAGAACTCCGTAGCAACACAGCCAGTCCGAACGTGTTGATACAGTGCTGTCGCGATCCTCGGAGAAGGTTTTTACGAGATTCAATTAGAATAGCAGCGAGGAAGTAGAACCCTCTTGCTTCACGCCTTGCGATAGAAAACAGATGTCTTTAAGCAAACTGTTTAGTGCCAGAACTGCTTCAACCTTGAAATGTAAGAAATGCGTAAGCTCTGGTGAAGCCTAGGCAGAGCACAAATCCCAGATTGCTACGTTTTTGGAGTCAGCTTTGGATATCTACCAGAATGCCTACATGATGATAAAGCGATCTTCCAATTAAAATGAGCACCCGATGAGCCCAAAAGTCATTCCCGATGACAGCAGGATTGCTTACTTCTTTTACGCTCTCCAACGTAACAGCAGGTATAGCTATCGAGCTAAATTCTGAATGAGGAGGGAAAATGAAAACCGGCGATGACAATTCACGACACGAACGTGGGATTTATGCCTCCTTAATGCCTTCGATCGGTCAGGTTTACATGAAGCGCAGCTACAGCTTACTCAGCTTCCACTTGTTCGTCCGAAATTATATCGGAAGTAAACTTTCCGTGCGCACACTGTCGATGAATAACATGTTATTGATATGTGTAGAGAGGCCTGGCGTTTCGCGCGTGATGGCGTATGTGAACTACTTAAATTTGGGAACGACCCTACTATATCTGTCTCGGTTGGTAATCAAATGGATGGTTGTTGATAATTATTGAATGTCTTAAACTTTATAGCGCCGTACTGAATTTATGAAAGCCGTATCTAGGGTCAATCGTAAACCCTAAACCCTAAACATGTACAGCAAGGCGGTCGAGCGAGTGAGGAGGTTAAAAAAATTTTGGATAAAGAAGCACATTTACTAATGTTTTGAGACGAAAAATGAAGCCAAGACAGTTGACTCGGGAAAGCGATCCTGAAAATATATGCCTACCAAGACGGCGCGGATGTCATGGCTTGTTACGCGAAGATCCTTTCCTATGACGTCATTGGGCGCGATCATACAATATCGTTCCTGGTCTGGAAATTCGATCGCGCAACGTATGCTTTAAGCCAATCTTCTAACAGTCGGGCACAGCATTGATGTTGCTGCATGGAAATATGCACCGTCCTTTATGTATCACTTTAATTGCAGTCATGCTTTAAAGTACCTTACAATTTATTCATAATCGAACTGGCATCACACCAAAGAACATTAAGAGTGTAATGTTTGAGCCATATTGACAAATCATCACGCCACTTAAAATGTTCTCAGCACAAGTTAAATCTTGTTGTGGTTATCTAAATTATCAATGCGGTAAAAGCTTTGATATAGGGATCGTTATTAAAATCTATGCCTGTGGCTCAGAAAATATTGATGGAAAAACAGCGCAAGATACCGGATGACAAAAATCGACTCCGATGCCATAATTGTAATCGGTTCGACTAGCTATGATTAAGTCTTTCTCGCGGATCGAAGTTCCAACACCACCGAGCTATTTCAGTGTATTTATCTTGTTAATATATTTTATAACAGCACATCATCAATCACTCATCATTATCGTGACAAAGCGTCGACGAAGAATGATCTAGTTGGTCAAACTCTTCTCTTCAAAGTACAATTCCCGCCGCTTCCACGCATCATGTGCACTGTCAGTGACCGAACCAAAACCAATTGCGAATCCTTCAATGCGAAGAAAGATGATTGCCGTGGTTAAACCCGACACTCTTCCGAACGTCGACAGGACTTGCGCCGTTGCGAAGTGCTCAGGCTTGACTTTATAAGGAAAAACATCCAGAGAATACGTTCCTCGAGAACCATCTGCATCATTAACTTCCATGCGTAGACGTTCGTACTGTCAAACTTGTTGATGCGGCTGGGGTGGAGATTTTAATAGCGGGGTCGAAGTCGTAAATAATGGCAGAGGGTGCGGGAGTTGAGCTCATGAGGACCACTTTGTAGGGGATTCGTGGGCCTCACAGACAATACGGTACTTTAAATCCTTATCGTCAGGATTCACAATTCGTGGCGTATCCGTCGAGTCTGTGCTATAATACATCAAACCATTATTTAATGAATATCGGTGCAAAGTGCACGCAATCGCGACAACAACTTCTTTTTTGAGTCTTCGAACTCGTTGCTCCCGTGAGCCCGAAGCAACGCTACGCAAATACCATCACCCACGTACGCGGCGCGAATCAATTCCATCACGGTCCACGTTATCGTCGTGACACGAGCAAGCTCATAAACCGGTCTGGGTGACAACGAATCAGCCAAAGCACTCTGCTTTCCTGGCTCATACTACACCTCGAAGTTATATGCTGCAAAGATTGAGGGACACCTGGACATATCCTGCGAGAGGTGAAACGGCTGAGTCGCAGTGCGTAGTGACGTATGATCTGTGTCGATCACAAACGGCTTGGAGCCTAGCAGGTGAGCCCGGAACTTGACAAAAGCATTCTTCATAGCAGGTAATTCCTTGTCGTGAACTAAGTAATTTTTCACTGCAACCTTGAGCTGGCGAATTCGAACTCGATCACCCGATTTCACCCCTTATCTGCTAGCAGCATTGCACAGTCGATGACAAAGTCTGAAGCGTTACAGACGACACTAAAAAAAAGTACGACTCGGGTTCGGCAACGCCGGCATTAGTGCATGAAGGAAATTCTCTTTGACTCTGTCAAAGCCTCCCGATACTCGGTATATTAACACCATTTTGCATCCTTTTCAAGGAGATTCGACAATGGCAGTATTAATCCCACATAATTCGCGCTTAACTAGTGGGTGAGGCCAATCCTTTTGCGCAAGTCCTTTTGGTTCTTTGGAACCGTCCGATCTACAATGACCTCGACCTTCGCGGAATCCGCTTGAAGGCCACGCCTCCCGAATACCTCTTCGGCGCCAAAGATGCACTTGTCTGCATTAGCATACAGCTTATTCGTGCGCATGCACTCGGCACCGCTCTTAAATAAACGATGTGGTTTTTTTCACCCATCATGCCGTGCTCTGCACAACTGTAGACGAAGATGTCGGCAAAGTATGAATGTGCATACGTCCGGCGGGACCTGAACAATTGCACCACAATACGATTAAATGTTGTTGGTGCATTTAACAGCTCTAGGGGCACCACCAGCCACTCCCAGAGAACCCCACACGGAGTACTCATCGCTGTCAGCGGAATTCCGCTCGCTCTCATAAGCAATTGGTAATACCCGTCGACCATGTCGAGAGAACCCTTAGGGGATAGTATGTCAAGATGAGACCAGCAATGCTTGGTGATAAGCTTAAGCAGTTCCTGGATCCATCGCAAGTGGACGCGGAAGCGTTGGCGCCGGTTCCTCCGGCGCCTGTGCCGAAATGGTGACAGCGTTTAGGTTATTGCAAGCATAAACGATACGCCACTTGCCATTCGGTTTCCAGACACAGAACGTGGGTGTTGAATGGAGGGACTTTCTCTCACACACCATCCTGCGTCGTGCTTCGCACGGAAAAAGGCATCAATGACGTCGCACTGCTCCTTGGGCGGGGGCCATTGGCATGTTACACAATTTTTGGTTTCCAGAAGCTGTCGATCTCATGACGCACATCAACGGGGGGGGGTCTTTGGAGACGACGTCAAGAATTTCCTTCACAACCAAAGGATAAAACGAATCCGAGGAAATATTCAGGATCGAAGATCCACTTCGTGCGCTCAGACCCCATTGGTGTCCTCCAGGACAGCTCCATTCAGAAGCGACGAACAAGGGTATATAGCTGTGCGCTATCGTCTACGGTTAGACACACCCTGGCTCAATATAGACACCCTGCGTCTTGCAGATATACATCCGACAAAGTACTGCTATTTCCGCAGTCTTCATCTATTGGATAATGTGCTATCCCACGTGCACCACTGGAGCCTCAACCTTGATGCCTCGGACCTCGCATGACCATGTCACTCGTGGCATGCAGCGACTGCTTCTAAACGTGAGCAGTGCTCAGTAGATTACGTGTGCCTTCTATCGGAGGTGATTTCAAGACACACCACAGCTAAACTAGAAGACATGATCGTAACGCCCAATGACTTCGACCTCTAGTCGATCTATGACTCATCGTATTTCAGCCGTCCATACCAAGTATGCCGAAAATTTAAACTTAAAGCTAGAATTTAGTACTAAGAATATAGGTTTTAGTATTTAAGTGAATTACAGGTTATATTAATACGAAAAGTTTTTTGAGGTCCTATAAAACTATTTCGAAATGTTCAATTATGACAATTCTTGCGTTAATTTACTTCTTTAGCAGGACATGCATATTATAGCTAGACGTGGTCCTTACAAAAAAAATCTTTTTTGGATCCCGGTCGATATTTCAGTCGACGATGGCCCTCACGAGCATATCCTTAATTATTTGGCAGGTTTGTTAAACTACATGCCATTGGGCGTGTCGAAAATATATACTCGGAAGATTATGAGATATGTCAGGTAACCTCTTAAGTTGCCCTATTTACCAGTAAACTGTGCAACTTGCATCACTGCAACGAGGTACTCAACATTAGCGCCAAGCTTAGCAGCATCGGCGCCAAGATGGAGGATGAGGACGTAGAAATATGTCTGATTCGAAGTCTACCCAAGAGCTATGCGAACGTCGTTCTCAACTTGGATATGAGCAGTGCAGAGCTACGGATGCAGGGCGTTGTGAAGGTGTTAACGAACGAGCACATATAGCGATAAGGTGAAAGGACCAAAACGGTGAAGACTGAAGACGCGGCAGAGTAGTTCAGTGCCGAAAAAGAGTCCCGCCAGTTCACTTTTTGCGGTAAATTGAGACATACAGTGGAACCCTGGACCAAGCAAAAGTATGATAGTCGAGGAGCTCGACAAGGCGTGAATTATCGTGGTCGCGGAGCTAGCAACGTACAATATCGGCACAGAAACGACAACGATTACTATCAAATAGCGTTTGCAGTATACCTGGAATACAATTTATCGTCTGGTAAAACACACTGAGTCTGTGGGCCATTGATAGCGGTGCTACTTTGCTACGACAAGTCGAAGTTAATGACCCTGGATAAACAGGACTTTAATAAGCTTCCACAAATCTAGCTGGAAGCTGATACGTTTTGAATATATACTTTCTAATATTAAGATAAATTAAGTAGTCAGGATTTAGGGTTTATGGTTTATCGACCATGACGATAAATCTTTGGGGGACAGTATTTCTTGGAGGTTAGTGTTTAAGGTTTTGAGTTCTCCGGAATGACGGTCACTGTGATTGCCTTGAGATAGAATTGGCTGCCATCCCAGTGCTAAGGGTCGACGGTAGAGCTAGAATCATATCGTGGCAACTACGTATCAGGCATAAGCACTTTTTAGCTTCTCTACTTCGGCAATGTAAGCCTTCATTGCATCTTCCGAGGACATGC